GACTAGTGAGGGGGGACAGACTGGGTCACAGGATCTAACGGGGTGACAGCATTGAGCTGGGGCTGAATGGGAGTGGGGTGCAGAGACACATGTGGATGTGGGGAGTGGGAGTGGCAGAGTGGGGATGCAGCAACACAAGGGAACAGGGACAGATGTGCCTGACAAAATGGGAGAGGCTAGGGTTCAGCCAGAGTCTGCATGGGGAACGCTCCCCAACTCCATAACAATCCCTCCCCTCCGCACACACCCACCCCCCTTCTCTCCCCCAAACAAACAAACAAAAAACCCTGTTTTGTACTTCTCACATCCACACCCAACAACCCTCCCTGGGATAAGAGAGAAAAGTTAAGTTGTATTGTTTTTGTTCTTGTTTGCAAGTTTAATCTCTCTTGCTTCATTATCCTCTATATTTTGTGACTGTAAGTTTTGGAATAAGTTTTCATGATTTCTCCTGGAAGGAGATGCTATATGCTTTGTAAGAATGAGAATATCCCGAGTAGGCCAGGAACTAATAATCATGTGACTGACTATTTCAAGTGAACTGACGTGCCAGAGCAAGTCAATGAATTTGTCAAACAAAGCTAGACTGGAGTGAAATTTACTTTGAGAGTCCATGTTTGCCCATAAGTATAGTACAGAACTTTTAGGAAATCATATTTGGTTATACTACGTGATAGCTTGTAATACATATTTTAAACATTTGTGCTCACCTTATGTTTCTAGGTACAGTTTAGGTTCAGAAATCAGGTTTGATTAAAAATAAACTTTTTAAAACTTAATATGCACAGAAGAGTTCATGTTTTTTCTGTGAGACAGCTTTTTATGAGATACAAATACCCTAGCAGGGAGTTTAAATATAAACACTACTATATTGTGATAGAGCATGAAAATAACTTAATTTTAATTGTCCAAGCTAATAATAGATCATAAATAGCAAAATAGTTTAAGATGTTGACTGAAAATAATGTATTAAAATGTTTTAAATCTAAATTTAAAAAAGAGAGAGCTAGTAAGTTGTTTAAGTCAGAAATAAAGAAATTACATTCCTTAGATTTGGCATGGAGACTACCTGAGGAGACAATAATAATTTTCAGATGGGATGCATGTCTCTAAACAATGGAAGCTGAAAAGCAAGACATAAACAGAATGTATCAAATAACCTCAGAAAACAGCTTTTGTGTTGTTGTGAGGGAGATTAAATGAAGTCAAATTAATAGGGAGCAAATTTAAAACTGATAAATGGAAATGGTTTCTCACACAACACATAATTAGCCTGGGGAACTCTGATGAATGTGAGACTGAAAGGTTGTCAGAATAAAAAAATGGATTGATATAATATGGATAGTAAGTTACAATAATAAGTACTTTTTAAAAACAAGTTCTGTAAATCTTCAGGCATAAGAGTTTAAGGAATTGTCTAAATAACGGGAGTTAGTAAGAAATGTTATCCCTTTAGGCATGTTACTCCATAACTTTCTGTTGCAGGGTTTCTTGCACCTGTCTGCGAAGCATCTGATAATGGCCACTGTCAGAGACAGGATACTGGCGAGATAGACCATTGTTGTGATTCAGTATGGCAATTTCTATGTTAGTATGTTCCCTTGAATTAAACATGACATGGAAGGAGTGGAGAATTGCACATCCAACTGTAGTATCATAAGTAGACTAACACCTATAATACTACATGAAATAAATTAATCATAGGAGCAGCAGCATCTCCTCTGCCACTACGAAAGTCAGTGGAAATTGATATAAAACAGAGTAGGATTGAAATGACCTGTTTTTGTATAAGCACAGAAATTGGGTTAAAGCTGCAATCAGATAAGCCTTTTTTCACCTACGGAGCTGTTTCTTTTAGAAGCGAATCTTGCAATGGTTATCCATCTGTTTGTCTCAGTAAGATTAGATTTCTGCAATGCACTCTATGTAGGGCTACGTCTTAAATTTATTCAGAAACTGCAGGTGATGCAGTCGGGGGACCAGTTGTTTCTTTTTATGAATGTATTAAACCCATACTGTATAACAGGGGTCGGCAACGTTCGGCACGCGGCTCGCCAGGGTAAGCACCCTGGCGGGCTAGGCCAGTTTATTTACCCGCTGACGCAGCAGGTTCGGCCTGCCTTTGTAAAAATCCAAATAAATGTATTTTTTGCCTTTTGAGGTGAGTTTTCCTCTTTTACTTTTACAGTGACATGGTTTTAGACTGGTCATCATTTTGAATAGACAAGAAAGGACTGAGCTGATTCTTGCGAGTACCTTTTTGAATGAAAAAAGAAAGTCTATAATAATGAAAATTGCTATTGTCTTTGTTAAAGGTACATCAAGCATTCCCATAACTGTTCATTTGATGTGCTTATAAAAGATTCTGAACATATGTAACACCTGTAACTCAATTATCTCTTACTGTTTTATAATACTTACTGGTTTGGAGAGACAATACAATGCACCCTGTACTAGTATATTTCTTCACTTAAGACGCACATTGAAAGACAAGAGGAGGTTGATATTTAAAATTTTAGACTGATTTATGAAAAACTTTGAATATAATTCTTCTGCATGTCCTCTCTGAATGGGGCAGTGCTATCTAGTGTTAAAATTGTACTTTCTCTGGAAAAAGAATGCAGCTATTTCCTGAAAAGCATTTTGCTTACTGTAATGATATCTTCAGTGTGTATCCTGTTTTCTAAAGATGTGTGCTATCTGCAGCGGTTTCCTGAGGATATTCACTTGAACTGTTTTCTGCCATCACTACTGAATACTGATGATATACTATTGCCATGGACTCTGTTATGCTATCAGTTTTTAGTTAAATAAAACAGATGTCAGAGCATATTTTCATAGGAACAACAATTTAATGAAAGAATACATACTAACCTGAAAAATACAAGCTTATGTGTTAGCTGATAGTAACTCAAATACAGAAAAAATATGTTCTTGTAGCTTTGATTGAATTTAACTGCTGGCATAAGAAATGAAATTAAATGCACCATATTTTTTGTTCTGAGGTAAATTGTGATAAAGTATTTATTTAAGTCACTTACACTCATCTGGTAATAAATGTAATAAAATATAGTTATGTGGGAGAAAATAAGTATATCCTGTTCAGAGTCAGAGGAAATAATCTAGAATATACCAAAAGTAGTGGTATGCCTACTATGGAGGACAAAATCTTTCCATTTTGTTCAAAACTTGAGATACTTGAGTATGTTTTATAGAAATGTAAAATAGAAGATTGATATTATATATTTATAATTCTAAAAAACCTGATCTCTTATGGAGAAGTTGCTATTATTTTGTTTTCTTCTTCTTTATTAGTAGAACCATTTATTAGAAGAGTTAATTATGTCAGGAATATTATTTCAAGTGGGGAATAAACTGGAGTAGATAAACTCTAAATGATTCTGCTCTCTGCCAAATTTAACTAATGAGGAAAGAGAAATAAAACTTTGCACTTGTACAGCACATTTCATTTAAAGATATCAGTGTTTTACAAATATCTATATCAATAGCAATCATATGCATTCTACAGACTAATAAACCGAGATACAGGTGTGAAATAGCTTACCCTACGTAAGTCTTTCATTCACAATTGTCAGTAGAGCCCATGATTTCTAACTGAGTCCTTTAGTGCAGTTTCTGAACATTTTCCCAAACAGAAATGATATAGAAACAACGTTGTTGTTAAAGGATTTCATTTTTTCAATAAGTCGGCAAGTCTCTTTTATAAAGGATTGTTAGGGGAAACCTCTTTTAAAATTTAAAACTTCCATTGTAATGTACAGCTCTGCCCCTCACTGCTTATCCAATCTTCTCACTTAGTGTGTTTCCTTCTTTCCAAAACAACCCCTTTGTTCACTTCAGTCACTTTATATCAGGGGTGGGCAAACTTTTTGGCCCGAGGGCCACATCTGGGTATGAAAATTGTATGGCGGGACATGAATGCTCACAAAATTGGGGTTGGGTGTGGGTGAGGGCTGTGGGTTGGGGGTGGGGATGAAGGGTTTGAGGTGCAGGAGGGGAATCAGGGCTGGAGCAGGGGGTATGGGTGTGGGTGGGGGGGTGAGTGCTCTGGCTGGGGGTGCAGGCTCTGGGGTGGGGCCAGGGATGAGGGGTTTGCGATGTAGGAGGGTGCTGGGCTGGAACCGAGGGGTTCAGAGGGTGGGAGGGGAATCAGGGCTGGGGCAGGGGGTCTTCTGAGACACCTACAATTCTGATTAATGTTAATATGTCAGATTTGTTTGTTTGTTTGTTAAAAGGTCTGATTTTTTTTTTAACGTAACAAAGTCCAAAAGGGGCACAATCCCTTTATTTCCTTTGCAGATAACCTTTATCTGGAAGGAAGGAAAAAGTTCGTTGATTCACATTTTCAGAAATAGGATATACTGAGGATTACATTCTGTACTGCTCCTCTTAGTGGCAAAACACCAAAATCACAGCCTTAAGGGAGAGGTGTCCTCACTGTTACACAAAGTCTCTGGCTGAGAACAGAATCCTTCCTTGGATTTCAAGCATTACAGAACAGAGGGATCTGAATCAAAATGTCAGATTCTGGATATCTTCTTTCCCTTTCTCCCTCCTGCTTTGCATCTTATGCCTCTTTCTAATTTTGAACTAAATTAGAGAGTTTTTAAGAGGGAACTTTCAATGAGGTCTGAGATTGCATGGATTTGGGCAAATCAATGAATTAAACCATGCTGAAAAGAGAGTTCTGAAATCCAACAATCCAGTTAAACGCAAATTGATGCATTAAATCACCATTTTAAAAAGAGCTAAGCTAATAATGAATGTTAAATTTCTGTAGTGATAGAACTAAGGGCCTTCATAAACAATGATTTTAACAGAAAACTTCCATCAGAGTTGGATATGTCAGAGTTCAGTTGTTTTATGTTTAATGTGTTATAGTAAAGCTCTTGCAATACCCCAGATGTTCTTCTTGTCACCACACTTTGAATTGATAGTTTTATTTTATAGTCACCTGTTTATTTCACACTCTTTTTCAGGTGGTATCATGGAAAACTTGACAGAACAATTGCAGAAGAACGTCTTCGGCAAGCCGGAAAACCTGGTAGTTACCTTATTCGAGAGAGTGATCGGAGGCCAGGATCATTTGTGCTTTCATTTCTTAGCAAAACAAATGTTGTCAATCATTTTAGGTGAGTACCTATTGTCATATTTGAAAATGTGATAGCTACTGTATATATAGATGCAGAAGTCCTTATAGCATATACAAACAGACTTAAATGTTTGCATTACAATCAATCTTAACTAGCAGTTAAGGTGGTTCAGAATATATGTACCTGTCATGAGTATATTTTGGTGTTCATTTGCTTGCATTCCATTAATTGTTTTAAAATAAGTATACTACTTGAAAATACTTTTTACATTGATCAACTTTTTCAGCACCCAGAGCAGAACACAGAAGCATCAGGAAATAAATGGAGCTGCAAAATGGAAAAACTTACTATTAAACAATTTACATCTTGAATTGTAGCGATTAGGCTTATCGGCAGCATTAGGGAGGTCTCTTATTTGTTAATGAGTCATTGAAAATGAATTGTTCTGAATGTGTTCCCTGACAGTCATTGCAGTTATTACATATTATTCAATATTCTTAGTGTACCAACACAAATTAATTTTATCTTTTGTTTTAAGAGAAAAATGGAGAGGGAAAAAAGTAAGGAATCTGTTGTGTCTAATGGTTTCTGGGTTTGATGGAAACAGCATTTGATGCATGTTGGAATGGATTGCACTAGATATTAGGCTCTCTATGAGCTGAGGAGTGAAAACATTTCTTTGCCACTGTCCCAAGTTATGGCTAGGATTACAGTTTTAAGGAATGTATTCTTGTTAGTATGAATGAGACTTGCTGTGTGTAAACTTGAATGCTGGCCAACGTATAGTGTGCCAATGGAATAACATTGTTCAGGCTCCGCAAAATAGAACTGCGGGTATCTTGGAAGCTGAATCTCTTCAGGCTAACAGCTAATGGGAAAGCAGTTCACCAGCAGACTGTTTGAACAGGACACAGCTGAACTCTAGAAAGTAGTAACTGATTGAGAGTATTCTAGTCTGTCAAGCCTGAAGCAGACCACAGGTGGAGCTAATGGCCTTCAGGAAAGACAGGTTTCAGATGTTCTTCAGGTTCATGGAATCTAAGTTAGGCAGAACAGATGAACAAGCAATCCATGGGATCTTTAATCTATAGTACATCTTTCCCGTTCATCACTCCCCTAATCCACTCCCTGGGCCATGGTGAGAAGAGTTCTCCAGAAGATTTCTGTGTGTTGAGGATCCTTCATCCTTATAGCCTCTGAGTAGGCGAGGAAGCTGTGGTTCCCAGAATTAATGAATTTGTCTGTTGCCAGTGTGAACAAGCTCTTTGCGGTAGAGGATTTCCTGAGGCAAAGCCCGCTGTTCTATGAAGATCTGGTATTTAACTAATTAAATGTAACAAACTTTTGGTCCTGTCGTTGACCAGGAGAACCGAAGCAAGGTCTATTAGTCAAGACACTATTGGCAATGCTAAACCGTAGAAATCTGTCAGCCTCATGAGTGTATTTGGGGGATTTGGAGAACTTTCTCTTCCTGGTGTGTAAGACTGGGATCATAATTCTACAGTCCTCTGTTCTGGTAATTCCTGGTAATTCATTCAAGCCAGTGTAGTGATGGATTGAGGCCCACCATCATTACAAAATTCAATCTTTGGCTGTTGCAGCCTTGCAGAGACTGGATGATCCTTCTTTACTTGGAATTTAAAATGTTATGTTTGTTAAAAGGTCAACTCTATCAAAAGCCAAAGTCTGATAGACATCGATGTTGTCAGAAGACTTGTTTTGATCTGTTGTTCGAGGAACAGTTTAATAGGCATGTATATAGACTAATATAAAAAATCCTTAAGCAGGAAAATTTCCCAATAAACCCGTATCTGAAGTGCAAGACCATAGGCAAAGAAAATGGTAGAAGTTAAGAAACAGAAAAGCAGCAGAGTCAAGAATCAGTGTGGGATTGTGAGGGAGAGGAGGTTTAACCTAAAAATAGAAACAAATTTCCCCAAATTATTCACTTGATTTCTGGAATGATCATTAGCTTTGAAAAAAAGAATGAGCATGGCAAGTAGTTCTTAGTCTTCAAGTGTTGAAATATTATCTTCTCAGATTCCACTATCTAATTTTGTAAATAAATCTTTAAGATATTTCCATTCTTTTAATTTCCGTTTCAACTTGAAAGTAGAAAGTAAAAAAATTTAAATTGACTTTTCAGATGTTAAATTACTCTACTTCCTAGCTTGTCAATATTGCTTCGTATTGGCCCCTTTTTTTTGTTAAATTTAATTACTCATGTTTTTTCTGCATTGACTTAGCAGCCGGGTTGCACAATTTGATTGGGTAATAATATTCTTGTATTATAAGTGTTTTATAAAGTAAGATTAGAAGAAATATTCTAGACCTTTCTTTTATCCCTGTGCCACAGACATTCTTCAGTGAGTTGCAATAAACTTTCTCCCCATTTATTTGTGTGTCCCCAATTGGTGTCAACTTTGAATACTCCTATAGTTACAATAAACTTTTAAAATAGGAGCAGGTAGCCCCAAAAAGTCAGTTACTTTTTTATAAAAAACTTTGGATCCTATTACTTTCCAATTACACACTAGATATTACAGTAACTTACCCTTTCTTGTTAGGGTGTTGTAACTAGAGGAGTTATTCAGTCATGTTGATAACTTAAAACAAACAAATGAAAAAAGATTTGATCAATTGGATTTTTACAACCACATTATCATACAAATGGTACTGACTAAGAATAATCAATCTGTTTCTCAGTACTGATATTTGACTTTTGTATAGCTGGAAACTTCAACTGTAATTGACACCAGCAATTATGCAATCATAGTCAATTGTTTGGGATGTCTGATTGTATTGATATTGCGCTTGCTTGGCTTTTATTAAATCTTTCTGTGTGCAATTGACCATTAAATTAAGTATAGGGAAAATGTTTTAAAATATCATTGTTTTATTTAAAACCACAGATACAGGGAATTCAGAGTTAAGCTTGTCACTCTTAACTTTCCCTGGTATAGCAATCTAAGTGTGCATGGTACTTAAAATATTACACAAATTTAAGTAGATAAACACAGCACAGGAAAAGAAGGATTTTGCCTCCACTCTAAGTATCTCATGTTATTTAGAGGATTAAGTTAAAACTTTGGCATAGCACATTTTTAATTTAATTAACTTTTAGGTAATAAGAGTTCATTAATTGTGCTTATTGTTTTAAATATCAAAATAAACAATCGTATCAGAATTTTACTGTCTCCTATATTTTTACTGGTTTATTTTTCTCAACTTAAAACATTTCCATTCATTTCTGTACATTTATTTTTTTCATCACATCTGTTAGCATGTTTCCAAATAAATCAAAAGTCAAGCAAGAGGGAAAAATTGTTCATATTTTGACAGTTTTAAAGCATACTTGACATTCACAGTAAATCTAACAATTTGAGGGTATGTCTACACTTGCAAGTTTTTGTGCTAAAAGTTATACCACTTTTATTAAAGTGCTTTAATTAAAAGCGCTGTTGTGTGTCCGTTGTAGCTCCTTGTGTCCTTGGAACACATCCACACTAGCAGCTCTTGCAATGACAAAGAGAGCAGAGCACTGTGGTAGCTCTATGCAGCTGGCTGCAGAGTGCTTTGGGAAGGGTATGCAGTGCCTTCTTGGGCAGGTACAGCATCACATGATGCAGGTTTCTCAATCCCATTGTCAGCTGCTTTTCAGTTAAAGTGTGTGGGGGCAGAGTGTGAGACAGGGAGCGTGTGGGAGGAGACAGCGCGTGTTGGGGGAGAGTAAGTGTGTTGGCATGCTATTTCATAAATTCAGACAGCTGTAGGAAGCAACCAGTCCTGAGACAGGGAGACCCTAACCTCCCTGGCTCTGCACAGCACAGAATCTCTCTTGCTGTCACACACACACATCCACCTCGCCTGCCTGCGTCTGTTCATATTGTGGGAGACAGAACATTCCGCATTAATTATTTGCTTTGTGTCCCAGAGCAGAGCAGCACGCCCTGGCAGTCAGAACAGAGCTTTGAAAGGGGAAGGGTGCATGCCTGCAGGTCTGCTGAGTTCAAAACAATAAGCAGAGCCGTCACTTGAGGCATTGTGGGACACCTCTGGAGGTCAATTACAGCGATAAAAGCAATCAAGGCGTTTACACTGGCACTACAGCATTAAAGCCTCACTGCAAAAAGCCTTATGACTCTCATTGGGGTGGTTCTATTACAGCGTTGCAACTGAGGAGTTTTGGTGCAAAAAGTGGCTTGTCAGTGTAGACGTCAGTGCAAAAAGCTGACTTTTAGCACAAAAACTTTCAAGTGTAGACCAGGCCTAAATCATTAAAAATGAGGTATTCAGTGCTCTGCAGGTGTATGATCAGGTCAACAGTTAAAGATCTTTCATGTTAATGAAATATTTTGATACGTTTGTCAAAATTAGACTTTGTTGGAAACCTAGTTGCAATTCTAAGTTTTCATTTTATAGGAAAAGCACCTATTAGATCATCTGATCCAGTTCTATGATTTAGACTTGCTCTTTAAAACACACATTCTAGGACAGTATTTTGTCTCTCTTAGTTTTAAATGTTCAGAGTAATGGAGCTTTCTGCTTTGCTTAGTAACTTAACATTTTTCATAGTCAGAAAACTCCTCTTGACGTTCATCTTACATTTTCCTGTTTCATCCCTTTACTCCTAGCTTATTACCTCCTTGTTTTGACCCTAAACAAGTCATCTTTTTTTTTTCAAGCTTCAAGTGTTTGTAAACTATTATGCCCCTGCTCTGTCACTCTTGCTTAGAAGTTACTTTGTCAAGGCATATATATATTTAGCTGTGAAAGAATGCATTTTGTTAGGTTTATGCTTTGAAAATAGTTTGCTTTCAAAAGCAAATACGCTGAAAAATCAATACTTTAGGTTCCCAACCTTTCTATAAGTTATCCATGCACTTTTATAGAGAGAAATATATATATTTTTAAATTAACTTTAGTGTTTCTTTCCTAACAGGATTATTGCCATGTGTGGAGATTATTACATTGGTGGACGACGATTTTCTTCGCTTTCAGACCTAATAGGTTATTACAGTCACGTGTCTTGTTTGCTTAAGGGGGAAAAATTGCTTTTCCCTGTAGCACCTCCTGAGGCAAGTAATAACTTCCTCACAGTAACATGTTTTTTCTTTATTTTCTTTTTAATAAAACACTGTTTGGTCTGATATTTCATTTTAGAGTGTGAACGGAAAAATGTAGCAAGTTTCTTCTAGTTTATAATCACTTTTCCCCTTCACAGCAAAATATATAAGGATTTATACATTATATACATGCATTTTTGCTGGTGAAAATGCCAAATATTACATATTTTATATTGTAATTAAAAAAATACAACAAAACCTTTAGATATTCATGTATTATGGAGATATCTAAACACTATAGTGATGAGTATGGTATGAAACCCAAGATAGACCAAGAAGAAATTATTAGAAAACATACAGTTTATGGAGGTAAGACGATTAAAGAGGTAGAAAGAGGCACCATTAGAATGTAACTATATATTAATATGAAATATTGGATAAAATAGAATGGCAACATTTTAGAGTATCCAGTCTACAGCTAAAGAATTGAGCTCTCTGAAAATTGAGCTCTCTGAAAATTGAGCACCTTTGCAGTGTCTCAGAAGTAGGGCACTCAAAATCACTAGTCACTTTTAAAAATCTTGGCCTGAATAAAAACCTCTCTAAAAGGCACAACTTAGGTGGAGAGCCCACCCTGCTATATGGAGAGGATATAATCCAAACTTATTTATTTTCTGGGGTTTGCCCTTATTGGTAAATTTTATATAATAAAAAACATAAATGGCAATTTGTACTAATTAAAATGTCACAATTCTAACATACAGTATTTTGGGACATTCCAGGGCTAGAATCAAATTGGAAATCTCCTGAGCTAATGGTATACATCACCCATGACTAACCCTGATCAGTCTTGAGCTATTACAATTTAAATGTTAGGGGTATTTGCTGAGTATTGCGAGTTTTGCACCTCAAACTAGCATAATGTTGGGGGGGAAATTCTGCTTAGGGGAGAGCAAGAATTAAACATTTTTCCCCTCCTAAATTGTAGCCAGTGGAAGACAGAAGGAGAGTTCGAGCCATTCTGCCATACACTAAAGTGCCAGACACAGATGAAATAAGGTATGTCTTATTAAAGGATCAGAAGCAGTGAAGATATTCTGGAGCATTTTTCAGTACTAATGAGTACAAATCATTTTTGTTTACATCTGTCTTCCTACTCCTAGATGTTAAAATCAGATTTCTTAAGGGCTTATTTATCAGTTGTAGAAGTAGCAGCATTCTGTTTTGAGTGCATATGTATTAATGTTTACCAAATAAACATGTTAATTATAAAGGGAGCTATTAGTTTGTTTTAGGTCTCGTCAGTCTCACTGTAACTTTCTGAAACGTTCCACTTGTATGTTTAATTTCTCTAGGCTTGGTCTTCATCCAAAGATATCTTCATCCAAAGACCAAGTGTGTGCACTTTTTTTTTTAAATATAAAATTGAGCAAGAACAATTAATCTGTTTGGCAGAAGGAGGGTGGTGGTGATAGCTTTATTCGTCATTGATTTCAACTATGTCTACACTAGCACTGTTGTCGGTCAGGGGTGTGAAAAAACACTCCCCTGGCAGACAGAAGTTACATTGACAGGTAGACAGAAGCGCCTGTGTGGACAGCGCTATGTTTGTGGGAGTTGCTCTCCCGCTGACATAGCTATCACTGCTCATTGGGGATGGTTTAATTATGCTGATTGGAGAGCTCTCTCCCGTCGACATAGAACGGCTACACAGAAAACCTTACAGTGGCACAGCTGCATCAGTACAGCTGTGCTGCTGTAAGGTCTCTAGGGTAGACATAGCCTAATTTTGAACAGGACATTATAAGGCTGAAGTAGCCACTAGATGGACCCTGATGTTTGGTGGTAATCACTGGTAGGGACACTCTTTCGTTGTCTTCTGGGAGTGCGACTTACCATGCTAACTGCATTGAGACTCTGGCTGTTGCTATCTGCTTTTGATATCTGGAGAAAGGTTTCATGAATATCAGAATAAAGTGTATGAGAGCTGGAGTTAAAATATCCTTATTTGAGTGGGTTCATCAGTGGAATGAGTTTCCAGTGCAGATCATACTAATCCAGTCTGACCACCGTAGAGCACGTTATGAGAGCTGTCTTTTTGAGAGAGCTTTTTTATCACAACCAGATTGATAGGCAGAGGAGGAAACCTATAATTGTATATAGGAAGTAGAACTTCCTCCACCAGGTAAGGAGGAAGAATAGAAAATTCCATTAAATCCACTAGTGACCTTGCCATGCATATCCAATTTACATGGGAAACACTTGGGTGATAAGAGCTACAGAAATGTTAAGACTCTTCCTTTTGAAAGGCATGCTGAGGAGAAACTCCAGAGGCAAGAGCCTGTGCTCCAGGACTCAGCATAGGCGACATTGACTTGGCTATGTCTTCACTGTAGAGTTGAGACTCACTTACTGAGGGCTTGTCTATACTTGCACTTTACAGCGCTGCAACTTTCTCTGAAAAAACACCCCCCTGAGCACAGCAAGTTTCAGCGCTGCAAAGTGCCAGTGTAGATAGTGCACCAGCGCTGGTAGCTATGCCCCTCGTGGAGGTGGGGTTTTTTAGAGTGCTGGGAGAGCTCTCTCCCAGCGCTCTGCTGCGACCACCAAGCCATGTTAAAGCAGATTGTTTATAAATAGTTAATATATTGTAAGAGGCCATTCAAAGTGAAGTGGCTTATTAACACCTCTGCATATGACATAAAAGGGGGTGTCACTGCGTTACAGATTGTTGGAGTAAGCTGTAAATTCAGTGTCTTTTTTTAAGACCTTGATTTTTAGAGCCTAGGAAAGTTCTAAATTTAAGCTCACAGGTTTGTCTTTTAGAAGGTGTTTTGCAGGTTTCCTTTGAGGATGAGGGCTTAGAGTTCAGATAGTAAGTGATTGTTTTATGAAAAGGGTTTGCCCATGGGTGATATGATGTGTTTGTCTTCTATAATTTTTCTGTGTGAGTTCATTAGAGAGAATAGTGACTGTCTTGTTTCAGCCAGATAATTTTTACTGGGTTGTTTGGTGCACTGGATGAGGTGCATCACATGTTGTGCTAGGCATGTGTAGGATCCCTGGATCTTAAAAGGTGTGTTGTGAGGGGTATTGATCATCCTAGCAATGAAGATATGCCTGCAAGTTTTGCATCTTCTGTTCTGACAGTGTCTGGTGCTGCTTTGGGTTAGTGGGTCCTGGTCTGTGGGGAGCTTGCCTCTGATGATGAACTTGGCAAGGTTGTGGGGGGTTGTTTGAAGGCCAGAAGAGGGGGTTCAGGTAAGATTTCTTTCAGGGTGTAGTCCCCATTGAGTACAGGTTGTAATTGTTTGGTGATACTCCCTGTGGGGTAGTAGGTGACAAGTAGGAATATGTGATCTGAGTTCCTCCCCCCTCCCCCCCATATTGAAGCAGGTATGTGAGATGCGATTCACTTCCCTGATGGTGTGTCCTTTTTGGTGAAGGAAGTTTTAAATGTGTTAAGGTGTGTATCCTGGACTTTATCCTTGGAGCCTATTCTGTGGTATTTGTGTGTCTGGTTGTAGATAACCGATTTCTTGGTATGTTTGGGTGATTACTGGATCCATGAAGGTAGGTGTGGTGATCAATGGGTTTTTGGTATATAGTTGTCTGTATGGTTTCATTGTTGAAGCTGACTGTGGTGGGCAGAAAGTTGATGCTGGTGTGGGAGTGTTCTAGAGAGAGTTTGGTGGGTGGATGGATGGTGGTTGTTGAAGTTGTGGCGGAAGTCTGTGAGGGTGTGTAGGTCATTTGTCCAAGGATGAAAATATCACCCAACATATCTCAGGTATATCATTGGTTTCATGGTACATTTGTCCAGAAATTCTTCTTCGAGGTGGCCCATGAAGAGGTTGGCATGTTGGGGAGCCATCCTTGTACTCCTGGCTGTTTCCATGATTTGTACAAACTGTTTATTTTTAATATAAAATTGTTACGGGTGAGGAGGAAATGGATGAGTTTAGTGATGTGTTTGGGGTGGATAGCTGTGTGATGTCCATTGTCTTGTAGATGTTTGAGGCAGGCAGTGATGCAGTCATTATGAGGGTTATTGGTGTACAGGGAGGTGGCAAGGATGCTAGTCTGAGGGAGGTGGTTAATGTTGCTGAGTTTCTGGAGGAAGTCAATTGTATCCTGGAGGAAACTGGCCCTTTGTGTAGTGAGTGATTTGATTCTGGTTTCTGACTCCTGATATTCCTTCAGTAAGAGTATCGTGGCCAGATATGATGGATCTGCCTGGGTTCCCTTGCTTGTGTATCTTGGAAAGCATGTAGAAGGTCTCTGGGATGGGTTTAAGATAAAGTTGTACAGTTTTCCTTGTAGTTGTTTGGAGAGGATTTGATGACTGCTTTTAATTCCTGGGTGAAATGTGTTGTGAGGTCTTTGAGTTCTTTATAGGAGGTGGTGTTGGAGAGTTGTCAGTAGGCCTTGTTAATGTAGTCATTACAGTTGAGAACTATGATGGCACCCCCTTTGTCTTCTGGTTTGATCACTAGCTTTTTGTGATTGGATTTCAGGAATTGTATAGCTATCCTCTTGTCAGTGGAGAGATGGTGGTGGATATGATGTTTAAGGATTTTATAGTTATTTTTTCCCCCCTGAAGCAATCAATGCAATGATCAAGTGTGTGGTGGGGTGTCCAGTCAGATAATTCTTTTATCTTATGGCTGTTGGTGGGAATGCAGTAGCTATGGGTGGTGGTGTGAAAGAATTTTTTGAAGTGGAGTTGGCAAAATAATTCTTCTAGTTTTGTACATGTTAGTATGGTATCACGGTGTAGTGGGGTAGAAATTCACATGGTGTGGGTCCTGGTGCTGTGGTTTCTTCCAGAAGTGGTGTTCAGTGGATTGTAGCGGAGTTGTTGTTCTTGGTTCCACTTTTTGTTTTTGTTTTGGAGGCTGTCTTCAGGTTTCTTCGATAGATTTTTTTTTTTTTGGTGGTTTCTTGCATGATCTCCAGGTAGGTTTCCTGCTGTTTTTCTTTCCAATATGTGAGAATATGTGATAATTTTGTGTTTGAGGTGGTCCCTTCTGGAGTATGAGAGATGCAGGAGATCGTTCCTCAGTTTTTTTTTGAAGTCCTCCTGCAGAGCTCGTTGTCATACTTGGAATTGTATGTAGTGGTCAGAGGGTTATAGATAGTGAGCCCTTTGGGGATAATGTTTTGTTTCTTGGCATTTTCTAAGGAAGTAGATGTTGCCTTAGGTTTTGCTTTCTTTTGTTTCATGTTGTGGAGTTTCAATTTCAAATGGCAAAATTCATTATCTTCCAGTGTTGTTTGCAGTGTTGTAGCCATTTTGTTCCCAGGATATTAGAAAGAGAAGGTGAGTTAGGACAGTACTTGAGTTATAACTTGAATTAACTGTAGTAAATACAAGCTTTCAAGCATGCTGTAACCTGTATTATATTTCTGACAAGGTCCATCTATGATCCAGTGGTAATTACAGTCCTCTGCACCATTTTGTAGGGCTTTAGCACCTGCATTTATAGTAACTAAAAGGCCTGCTTTCATATACAGGGTCTCAGAAACCTCTCCCTTCATATGTAGGGTTTACAATGTTGTGAAATTAGGTAAAATTGCTACTTTTATAAATACGATACTGGTATATACACGTATGTCTGTCTTTGATTTTTCTTATTTTTATTTGGGATTTGATTTGACTGGATATTGTCTCTTTAACATTGATTGTAATATGGTGCTAGTGTTGCATAATTCAGTAGAACATTAAAAGTGTCTCCAGAAATTAACAAGTATTAGAAATCCAAATAAATCTAATGTGTCAGTATCTAACAGGTGCTTATTTCATGATGTGTAAACAGACTGATTTGTGATACACTCCTGTGTTTTTTATGCTTCCGCCATCTTTTAAAGTTTTGAAAATGTAACTTTGGTTGAGTTATGTTCAATTTATTATCCTTGCCAAAACTATTGCACCTTGGTTGCAGTCCTAGTTTAATAGTCTTACTGTAGCTTTCTTCAGTTTCCTTAAAGGAGACATGTTTATTGTCCATAATGAATTGGAAGACGGTTGGATGTGGGTTACAAATCTACGGACAGATGAACAAGGCCTTATTGTAGAAGACCTGGTAGAAGAAGTGGTAAGTGTTATCTACTTAAATCGGTTCTAAAACTTAAGATTCTCTAAGTATTAATACACTAGATATTGTGGCTCTTGTATAACTGCCAAACTTCCTACTGTGGTGTATTTTCAGTTTTCTTTTAAAATGTAATAATCAGATCTCCCATTTATCAACACATATAGCAGGGGTCGGCAACCTTTCAGAAGTGGTGTGCTGAGTCTTCATTTATTCACTCTAATTTAAGGTTTTGCGTGCCAGTAATACATTTTAACGTTTTTAGAAGGTCTTTTTCTATATGTCTATAATATATAACTAAACTGTTGTTGTATGTAAAGTAAATAAGGTTTTTAAAATGTTTAAGAAGCTTCATTTAAAATTAAATTAAAATGCAGAGCCCCTCGGACCGGTGGCCAGGACCCAGGCAGTGTGAGTGCCACTGAAAATCAGCTTGCATGCTGCCTTTGTGCCATAAGTTGCCTACCCCTGATACACAGTAACTCCTTAAGCCTCATGTCTGAAATTGAAAATAATGAAGGCCAAACTAGTTCTTGGCAAATAAGTTTATTCTAATTTTGTACAGATGAATGGCATTGTGACTTGGTTCATAGGCAGTTCTGTAAACCAGTGGTTTTCAAACTCTTTTTTCTGGTGACCCAGCTGAAGAAAATTGTTGATGCCCGTTTCCCAACGGAGCTGGGAATGAGGGGTTTGGGGTGTGGGAGGGGCTCAGGGTTGGGCAGAGGTTTGGGGTGCAGGGATGAGGGCTGTGGGGTGGGGCCAGGAATGAGGGGTTCAGGGTGTGGGAGGGGGCGTTGGGTTAAGAACATAAGAATGGCCGTACTGGGTTAAACCAAAGGTCCATCCAGCCCAGTATCCCGTCTACTGACAGTTGCCAATGCCAGGTGCCCCAGAAGAAATGAACCTAACAGGTGATCTCTCTCCTGCCATCCATCTCCGCCCTCTGACAAACAGAGGCTAGGGACACCATTCCTTACCCATCCTGGCTAATAGCCATTAATGGACTTAACGTCCATGAATTTATCCAGTTCTCTTTTAAATGCTGTTATAGTCCTAGGCTTCACAACCTCCTCAGGCAAGGAGTTCCACAAGTTGACTGTGCGCTGTGTGAAGAACTACTTCATTTCATTTGTTTTAAACCTGCTGCCCATTAATTTCATTTGGCGGTCCCTAGTTCTTGTATTATGGGAACAAGTAAATAACTTTTCCTTATTTACTTTCTCCACACCACTCATGATTTTATATACCTCTATCATATCCCCCCTTAGTCTTCTCTTTTCCAAGCTGAAAAGTCCTAGCCTCTTTAATCTCGCCTCATATGGGACCCGTTCCAAACCCCTAATCATTTTAGTTGCCCTTCTCTGAACCTTTTCAAATGCCAGTATATCTTTTTTGAGATGAGACCACCACATCTGTACACAGTATTCAAGATGTGGGCATACCATAGATTTATATAAGGGCAATAAGATACTCTCCATCTTATTATCTATCCCCTTTTTAATGATTGCTAACATCCTGTTTGCTTTTTTGACCGCTTCTGCACACTGCGTGGACGTCTTCAGAGAACTATCCACAATGACTCCAAGATCTTTCCTGATTAATTGTAGCTAAATTACCCCCCATCATATTGTACGTATAGTGGGGGTTATTTTTTCCAATGTGCATTACTTTACATTTATCCACATAAATTTCATTTGGCATTTTGTTGCCCAATCACTTAGTTTTGTGAGATCTTTTTGAAGTTCTTCACAGTCTGCTTTGGTCTTGACTATCTTGAGCAGTTTAGTATCATCTGCAAACATTGCCACCTCACTTTTTACCCTTTCTCCAGATCATTTATAAATAAGTTGAATAGGATTGGTCCTAGGACAGACCCTTGGGTAACACCACTAGTTACACCTCTCCATTCTGAAAATTTGCCATTTATTCCTATCTTTTGTTCCCTGTCTTTTAACCAGTTCTCAGTCCATGAAAGGACCTTCCCTCTCATCCCATGACAACTTAATTTACATAAGAGCCTTTTGGTGAGGGACCTTGTCAAAGATTTTCTGGAAATCTAAGTACACTATGTCCACTGGATCCCCCTTGTCCACATGTTTGTTGACCCCTTCAAAGAACTCTAATATATTAGTAAGACACGATTTCCCGGTACAGACACCATGTTGACTTTTGTCCAACAATTTATGTTCTTCTATGTGTCTGACAATTTTATTCTTTACTCTTGTTTCAACTAATTTGCCCAGTACTGACGTTAGACCTACTGGTCTATAATTGCTGGGATCACCTCTAGAGCCCTTTTAAAATATTGGCGTTACATTAGCTATCTTCCAGTCATTGGGTACAGAAGCCAATTTAAAGAACAGGTTACAAACCATAGTTAATAGTTTCGCAATTTCACATTTGAGTTCTTTCCGAACTCTTGGGTGAATGCCATCTGGTCCCGGTGACTTGTTACTGTTAAGTTTATCAATTAATTCCAAAATCTCCCCTAGTGACACCTCAATCTGTGACAATTCCTCAGATTTGTCACCTACAAAAGCCAGCTCAGGTTTAGGAAGACTGAAGCAAAGAATCCATTTAGTTTCTCCGCAGTGACTTTATCGTCTTTAAGCGCTCCTTTTGTATCTCGATCATCCAGGGATCCCACTGGTTGTTTAGCAGGCTTCATTCTTCTGGTGTACTTAAAAAACATTTTGTTATTACCTTTTGAGTTTTTGGCTAGCTGTTCTTCAAACTCCTCTTTGGCTTTTCTTATTACATTTTTACACTTAATTTGACAGTATTTATGCTTCTTTCTATTTACTTCACTAGGATTTGACTTCAACTTTTTAAAAGATGCCTTTGTACATATTAACTTCATCAATTTGGATACTTCACTAGAAAAATGGAAGGTATTGTGGCACTTCAGGAAGCCCCACAAAATAGTTACAATGAATGGCAGGGTCTCTTCTATTGTAGGAACAGCTGGCTTTAGAGCAGTGATTTTCAAACCGGAGCAGGGTAGAGGTGCGGGAGGGGGTCAGGGCTCTGGGGTGGGGCTGGGGATGAGGGGTTTGTGGTGCAAGAAGGGGCTCTGGGTTTGGCGGGGGGCAGGGGATTGGGGCGCAGGGTTGGGGCACGGGCTTACCTCCGGCAGCTCCCGGTCAGTGACGCATCCAAATTGATGAAGTTTATATGTACAAAGGCTCCCCCTCATGAGAGTTCCATTCAGAACGGGGGATGGGACAAGAGGGCATGTCAAGTTGTTCGTTAAAGCTCCCTGATTCAACATCAACCATGCTGGCCCCGGCATTAATTAGGGCAGTCAAGTGACCCTGAGACACCTTATGTCAGGGGAGAATTGGTCTAATGGAGCTCTGCTGTGGACCACCCTTGGTTTGGTTCTACCAAGCCACCCCAACTCTGCATGTCTCTTCACTGGGACTGGGGGAAGCGTCACTGCCTCTGCCAACTGTACACTAGCAGTAGCTGCTTGCTATCTGAGAATGCAGAGTGAATGGATAGTACTGGAGAATCTGGGCTCTGGCCTTTCACGTGTAGGGCACAAGGTCGATCCACCTCATGTCAGTAATAATTGAAAATTACCATTTCAGTTTTCTTTTCGGTCCCATCTGAAGGGAATTTGTTACTCCAGTTCATTATTGAGTGGACAAGTCTCTGCTTCACCAAAACTGTCATCACCCAAGAATTGGTGCCAGCTAGCCCACTGTAGTGTGTAAAGAATAAATAAGCATGGGCACTGAACTAATCTCTCACTTTTGGAGGTAACGTAAACAGGTCATGTTTGATGCATATTATCAGTGTGGTGTGAAGAACTGTGTACTGCTCCTGCTTCTGTACTTTTTCATGAATAACTACAGTAGACTAATTCAGTCCTCAGAACTGTCAATCCACACCATTCACAAGCATTAAATCAACACATACACAGTCTAATTGAGAAGGAAAATGGAATTCCCTTGTACAACATTGTCGGAGGAGAAGATATTTATAACAGTGCAAAAAATCAGACAACTTGTAGCAGCTTAGTGATACTGTGTAGATGACTGGTGGAGCACATCATCTGATTTGAAGACTCTGACAGTCTGCAATATGTTAGCCCATTCTGCAATATCTCTTACTCTCCCAGGGTGGATGCACTATGCACATTACTATTATCTACTGTACCTATTATATTAATGTATGTAGTTTTTAGCTGTTTCTTTCAGATCCTATGCCCAGTCTGCATTAAGAGTCATGGATTAAAGCCAGAAGGAATGACTGTGATCATCTAGTCTCACCTCCTGCGTAACACAGGCCATAGAATTTCTCTGAATTAATTCCTGTTTGAACTAGAGCACATCTTTTAGAAAAAAATCAAGTCTTGATTTAAAAATTGTTGGAGATGGTGAATCCACCGTAGTCCTTGGTAAACTCTTTCACTGGTTAATTACCATCACTATTCAAAATATGCATCTTATTTCCAGCCTGAATTTGGCTAGCTTCAACTTCTAGCCATTGAATCTTATTACACAAACGTCTGCTAGATTAAAGAGTCCTCTATCATCAAATTTCTGACCTCCTTGAAGATACTTAGACTGATCAAATTATCCCTTAACCTTATCTCTGATAAACTAAATAGAGTGCGCTCCTTGAGCCTTTCACTATAAGGCATGTTTTCCAATACTCTAATCAGTCTTGTGGCTCTTTACTGAACCCTCTCCAATTTTTCAATATCTTTCTTGAATTGTGGATATCAGAACTGGACAGTGTTCCACTAGAGCTCTCACTGTGCCAACACCAGAGGTAATAGAATATGTCTACTCAATAGTCCCCATCCAAAGATCACATTAGCCATTTTGACCACAGGATCACACTGGGAATTCATGTTCAGCTAATTAGTCAGCATGACCTCCAAGTTTTTTTCAGAGATGCTGCTTCCCAGGATAGTCTCCCATGCTGTATGTATGGCCTACATTCTATGCAGATGTAGATTTTACATTTAGATATATTAAAATGAATATTGTTTGCTTGTGCCCTGCTTACAGAGTGATCGGGATCACTTAGTATCACTGAACCGTACTCTTCATTCTTTACCAGTCTGTCATCTGCAAACTTAATCAATAATGATTTTTTTTTCATTCAGGTTATTGATTAATATAAAAAAGTTCAATAGCATAGGACGAAGAACTAATTGCTATGGAGCCCAGCTAGAAATGTACCTTCTTGATGATTCTCCATTTAAAATTACATTTTGAGACCAGACCGACTGTTTTTAATCCATTCAATGTATGCCATATTTGTTTTTTGTGGTGGTCTAGTTTTTTAATCAAAATGTTGTGCAGTACCAACTCAGATGTCTTACAGAAGTCTAAATCTATTACATCAATAGTATTAGCTTTATCAACCAAATTTGAAATCTCATCAAAAGAAGATAGCAAGTTAACTTGTCAAGATTTATTTTCCATACACCCATGTTGATTGGCATTTATTATATTACTCTTCTTTGATACTTATTATCAGCTGCTCAATAATCTGTCCTGTAATGAATGTTAGGCTGACAGGTCTATAATTGCCTGAGTTTATCATTTTTAAATATTGGCACAACATTAGCTTTATTCCACTCTTCTAGAAAGTCCCTCGTGTTCTAAGGCTTATCGAAAATCAACATTAGCAATCCAGTGAGCTCCTTGAGCACCTCTTCTGAAACTCTCAGATGCAAGTTATCCGGACTTGCTGATTAACTTTAGTAGCTGCTGTTTAACATCCTCCTGAGTTACCATTGGAATTGTTTCTTCTTCATCATCATCATCTCCTCTCATGACTATAACATCCCTTTTTCCCCAAATAAGGGACAAAAATATGTATTGAACACTTCTGCATTTTCTGCATTATTATTTACAATTCTACCATTTGCACCTAGTGATGGACCAATAGCATTGTTAGGATTCTTTTTGTTCCAAATATACTAAAAAAACCCTCTTTATTGTCCCTAACTCTGCCGGTCATACATTTCTCCTTATGTCCCTTTGCTTCCTTTATCAATTTTCTACAAATGCTAGCTTCTGATTTTTTATTTATTATAGTCAACTTCCCCATGCTTCCATCTGTTATATATTGTTTTTCATAGCACTTTTCCCTCTAAGCCAAGTTGTTTTTTAACCCATTTGCTGCCTTCTGTCTCAGTTGTGGCTTTTGGGGCAGCTAGTAAAATGTTTCTAAATGATTCCTAATTATCAGTCACATTTTCTGTTTATATCCTCTTTCCAAGCTGATTTGGCTCATAATTTTTTTCAGCTTTATGAAACTGGCCCTTCTAAAGCAGGGGTGGGTAAACTACAGCTCGCCAGCCGTTTTAAGACGGCCCTCGAGCTCCCACTGGGAAGCGGGGTCTGGGGCTTGCCCTGCTCAGGCTCTCTAGCCAGGGAGCAAGGTCAGGAGCCTTTCCACGTGGCTCCCAGAAGCAGCTGCACGGCCCCACTACAGTGCTCCAGCTAGGACACAGGGTCCAGGGCCACTTCATGCGGCTCCTGGAAGCCACAGCATGGCCCCACTCTGGGGGAGCTGCAGGGGCGGATGGGGCAGCATGTGCAACTGCCTGGCCATGCCTCCACATAGGAGCTGGAGAAGGGACATGCTGCTGCTTCCGGGAGCCGCTTGAGGTAAGCGCCTCCCAGAGCCTGCACCCCTGACCCTCTCCCCATGCCCCAGCCCTGATCTCTCTCCCGCCCTCCAAACCACTCGGTCCCAGCCCAGAGCACCCTCCTACACCCCAAACTCCTCATCCCCAGCTCCACCCTAGAGCCCGCAACCCCAGCTGGAGGACTTACTCCTCCCCCCCTGACCTCCCACACACACTCCCCCGCCCCAGCCTGTAGTCCCCTCCTGCACCCTGAACTCATTTTTGGTCCCACCCCAGAGCCTGCACCCCCAACCAAAGCCCGCACCCCTTCCTGAACCCCAACCCCAATTTTCTGAGCATTCATGGCCCGCCATACAATTTCTATTCCCAGATGTGGCCCTTGGGCCAAAAAGTTTGCCCCCCCCTGTTCTAAAGCAATGTGTGTGTGTATCTGTATGTATATATTGCTGATTTATACTTCGTTTGCACATAAATATTATCAAGTCATGTTTGCTTGTGCCAAAGCTACTACTAATTTTGAGTTCTGGACACCATTAATACTGCACCACATAGGCATGTAATGGGGTTTAATACATACCTATGTAAGCTGCACTGGTGTAAATCCCACTTAATTCTAGTATAGCTCATCTACGTAAGGGGTTTGTACCAGTGTAACTTGATCAGTGTAGTTACAGTGGGGCGAATTTCCTTCATGTAAACAGGGATTTGGGAAAGAAGCACAAAAATAAATAAATCCTTTGATCATTGTAAGAAACGTTGCCCTCATTTTTTTTTTATTTTTATTTTTTTTAAAAGCGTGCTTTTGGCATATGCTTTCTCTACCCAAATAGGGTAGACCAAATAGTAAGCCTCTTTCATAGAATTATGTAATAAGCCCTTTAGTTCAAAAATATATGATTTCTTGAATATAAATGAATTATTTTGTAGCATTATTGACCTCTACAGAAAAGCTAAAAACTTTGAAAATAGACTTCATATAATTGATTACGTGGACTGTTGCGTCATGCACTTACTGTGTTAATTTTCTCATTAGGGACGTGAAGAAGACCCACATGAAGGCAAAATGTAAGGGTTTTTATTTGTTCTTAAAGAAAAACAAATATTGTGGAATAAACTATTTGTAAATTTCAGCTATGAAGTTATCTGCCTTTGAAAAGGTGAATCTAACTGTTCTTTCTGGCCTCATGTTTTCCCTCTACTAATTGCTAAGGTTGATACTCTCCTCTGTCTAGTGGGCTTCTATATTGGTGTTTTGTGCTACTTATGGATAGTGTCAATAGGTTTTCATGATGGATAAAGCTTGTATGAGCCCTGTGGATGGTGGTGAATTTCACCCAGAATATGCAACATGGGTTACTGTTTGATTATAGAAATTGATGTACTAGAGCTGACCTCTTGTAAAACCAATCTAACTCTAAAATCTTTTAGTTTTGGAGAGAGAATATTACCATCACTTGAAGAATTAAAGTTCTGAATTCACTGATCTGGTACTTTTAATCACCAATATATCGGTGTTGGTGATCTCTATTAGCTTCCCATAATGATGAGATTTTAACATTGTAGCACTCAAGTTTCTCATTGAAATTGCTTCATCTATTAACAATTATATCCAAAAATCCCAAAATGTTAAGTCATCAATATATATTTTTATTAAGAAGCATGAAAATCATGGAATCATAACATACACGATTTGGTGACCAGTAAGTAGCATCTGTCATCTGTAGAACCACTTGCAATGAAAAAAGATGAGTGGCAACTAAGTATTTCAGCTGAATTTCCTGCTACTTATTCACTTGATTGGCTTTAGGATCTTTTGTCACCATTGTTGCTGTCTCCTGCCTCCAGTATTACCAGCTTCACAATCTCTGAAAGGCTGGTGATCGAAGGCACTTCCAGGTATGTTGGGTGGGGAGAGAGAATTGCTGCTGTGGGATTGCAGTCCACTGAACTCTACTGGCAGTTCTTCCACCCAGTTTGGTGTAACACAGCCTCATTAATTGATTATCCCCTGCACCATTCCTGGAAGTTGCTTCAAGCTTCACCACCTACAGACCACATGTCTAATGAGCTTGCTGCTCAGAGGGTCCTCCGGACAGTCCTTCAAGTGTTCAAGCATCAGGAGACTGTCCTTTAAACGTGACCTGGAAAGGAAAATAAAAATTGAGCTTATTTTCTTTTGATGGATAAGGTCTGTTGAGGTGCTTAAAAAAGAAAATCACTTGCTTATTTGTACATTAGAAATGTAGGTCTTTGTCCAGCAAGAAGACAAATCCTGTTTCCCACCTATATGGGTACTGGAAATGCCATGTGTATGGAAAGGATAGGAAAGGTGGGGGTATACTACACTGCCTGAAAGTTATCATGGAAGGGTGATCACTGTAGTAGGGGTGACCATCAAGAAGATGGGCAGATGGTGTGTGGCAGATCATTGAGAGATCATCTGCTGAGTGTGTTAAGTTAGAGATGGATTGAGAATTCTTCCAAAAATTCTGCTATGACATCACCAGTATTCAGACATGAATAAATGGACTTTACATTTGTTACATGAGGACACCCAGCAGAGCTATGAGTATAAGTTATTTGAGGCTGGACTGAAGCCTTGGGATTTGTCATGGCATGGCTCCACCACACACAGGGCTGAACAGGCTACTTTAGCTATGAGATTGGAGTAGTGACTGTGGCGCGTCTTCGCTGCCTTTCTTCCCTTCTGCAGCTTGGGTTGAGAATTCCTTTCCCCAGCTCCTGTGGAAATTCACAGCACAACTCCAGCTACTTTGTCTGGGTATTTTGCCCCTTATAGAAGAGTAATGACAGGGCATTTACATTCAGAATTCGTTAAAGTGCCATAGATCACAATAGATAGATTCAAATAATTACCAGAAAAATTATCTAGTATATACACTTTGTACATGACAGCTTATATAGCTAAAACTTTTGTACTTTGATGTCTACTTCAAATATTTAATTTTATTCACAGTTAATTTTAGATGTTTAAATATTCTGTCAAAGAACTGGATATTTGTGTAACATAATTTTATGAGTTTATGTTCCATTGAATTACTCCACCTACTAGGTCTTTAATTAAAGATTAATTCATAGAAGCCAGAGCCTTGAAGGCCAACAGAACCAAAAAGAGACTGCTGATACTCTTGCTTTCTTATTTGTTCTCTTCATCTTTTGTTAAGATGGTTCCATGGGAAGATCTCCAAACAAGAGGCTTACAATTTGCTGATGACAGGTATTTGTCTTTCATTGCTGGGGTTAAGGCATAAGGGGACGAGCACACCGAATAATACTCTATATACATTAGATTGTAAAATCTTTAAAGCAGGGCTCTGTCTGTGTGTGAATAGGACCCAGCACAATGAGCTCCAGATCCTGACTTTCATCACCATAATGCAAATAATACGTTACAAGAGTTAAACATTATAATTAATATAATTGTTTTAAAAAAGTATTAGACAATCAAACACAGCGGGTCAGATAACTTTTATTATAACAGCTAATCACTACTTGTTGAGTAATAAATACTTTAAATATTTGCTATTAATAAAAGCTATAATTTAGTAATCTGAATAAGAGTATATGGAAGATACTGTAGTGTCATAAATACTGTAAATTTTGTTTTTTTATTGGAGGACAATGTTTCTTCAGGATTTAAAATATCAGGCTTTCAAACCTAGGTAAAGCAGAAAGTTTAAAATGGTGAAATAAACTCCAAAGTAGTATTTACCATTTGAATATTTTATTAGATCAAAACTATTTTTAATTGTTGGAATCTATATTAGCATGTTGTCAGAATGTTTTTTTCTCTTCTGAGTGGAGTGTCTTCATCACTGACAATTTTTAAATCAAGATTGGCTATTTTTCTAAAAGCTATGGTCTAGGAATTATTTTGGGGAAGTTCTATGGCCTGTGTTAAACAGGAGGGCAGACTAGTAGATGATCACAGTGGTCCCTTCTAGCCTTGGAATCTATGAATCTATATGTGAAGTTGGCTACTTGCTACATTGGGAGCTTAAAGAGGGCAAAATAAATTAGCAAATGTCTGGATTCCAAACTAAATATACACATATTTGTTCCAAATTCCAATTCATATTTGTATCCAGTGAAATTTGGAAAATGCCCTTCGATTGTACTGTGAAGGAAAAATAATAGCGTTGGGCACTTTATTAATAATCCTAATATTGTTTCAGTTGGTCAAGTGTGCAGTTTTCTTGTGAGGCCCTCTGATAATACGCCTGGTGATTATTCACTCTATTTTCGGACCAGTGAAAATATTCAACGTTTCAAAATATGCCCTACTCCAAACAATCAGTTTATGATGGGAGGAAGGTACTATAACAGGTAAACTACTAACAGTTCTACTTAGTTTTTCTATATATGTTTAAAAAAAGTGTAATCTGTCAATGTTTATTATTGGTGTGTATATATAAATATGATTTGTTTTTTTAAAAAAATATGCTTATGTTAATATTAAGAATTTATCTAACCTGGTTAGTGGCTACATAAAAAGACTGAAAAGTTTTAAACACTTTCTTAATCCTAAACAAAGCATAATTAGTTGGTGTTTATTTTTAAAGTATCTGACATTTTCTTCCATAAACTGGTTTCTCCTGATAGAAATTGTGGATCATATGACTTCAAAATGATCGTGACAAAATAGAGAATTGATCTGAAATCAACAAGATGGAATTCAATGCAAAATACTGACTTAAGAAGAGAAAGTCAAATCCACAAATACAAAATAGGGAATAACTGGCTAGGCAGTAGTTCTGCAGAAAATAATCTGCGGGTTATAGTGGATCACAAATTGAATATGAGACAACAATGTGATGCAGTTGCAAAAGAAAAAAAAAGACTAATATCATTCTGAGATGTATTAACAGGAGTGTTGTATGTAAGATACCAGTGGTAATTTTTTCACTTTACTTGGCACTGGGGAGGCCTCAGCTGCATATTGTTCTAGTTTTGGGTGCCACACTTTAAGAAAGCTGTGGATAAACTGGAGAGCGTTCCAGGGGGAGCTACAAGGTTTTATAAAACCTGATCTATGAGGAAAAAAACAAAACTGGGCATGTTTAGTCTTGAGAAAAGACAACTGAGCGGGAGACCTGATAAGTCTTCAAATATGTTAAGGGCTGTTGTATCGAGGATGGTGATCAATTGGACTATATGTCCGCTGAAGATAGGGCAAGAAGTAGTTGGTTTACTCTGCATCAAAGGAGATTTAGGTTAGATGTTAGGAAAAATTGTTTAACTATAAGGGTAGTTAAGTATTGGAATAGGCTTCAAAGGGAAATTGTGGAATCCTGGTCATTGGAGGTTTTTAAGAACAGACTGGACAAACACCTTTCAGGGATGGTTTAGGTATACTTGGTCCTGCCTCAGTGCGGGGGAGCTGGACTAGATGACCTCTCATGGTCCCTTCCAGCCCTACATTTCTATGATTCTATGACTTATTATAAGTTAAGAGAATGCTATGTTGACATATAAGATGGAACAAAGGACAATAAAACTAGCAGTGATGTATAAAGGAAATGTGTGAATGGTTAAAATGGGGGGGCGATATTTACATGAGGGAGAAAATAGCCTCATGATTAAAAAAAATTAAAAATCACTGGATTTCTTATATTGGACACATGATTGAAGTCTGGGTCAGAAAGTACTGATCAGCTCTCCCTGGAGTGAAGAAACTCAGGATGGATCTGTTTTGTCACTGGCATAAACAGGAAAGTGATAGTAATCTGTACTAAAAGAATGGAAATGACAAAATTAGATGCATTCATCCTTCACAGTGGGAAGCTGCTGATATATATCTATTCTCAATACATCTTATTTCCAAGGTCCTATTAAACTCAAGAATGTAGTGGTTTTGAGTTTCAACACCTCTTTAGCAGCAACAAGTTTAGCTCCCTCTTCCAGTGGAGATGGTCACTGCTTCTCCCATACATTTGGGAATTTGTCAGATCTGATCACCCAGAACCAGGGCATTCTTCTCCATCCCAACCTAGCATTTCTCTCGCTTCCAGCTTGGCTTCTGAGTGGGTAGAGATCCAGTAGCTGGTGTGTCTGAGAAAGTATCAAGTTCTCCTAGCTGAGAAGTTCAGTGGACGATCATATGACTTCAAGTGGAAGATCGTGTGAGGCTAAACAATTGGATCCTTTTGCAAATCCCATACACAAGATGCTTGAGTACCTTCTACATTAATCAGTCTGGCCTCCAGACATCCTCATTGAAAATTCAGCTAGCTGCAATTTCAGCCTTTTGTGAAGGTAAAGTCTCTTTTGCCCATTCTGTAGTTTTCTGGTTTATTAGGGGTATGACACTTGAATCTTCCAACTAAAATTTCTGCCAAGGGAGGTGCAGAAGTAATTAATTAACTAATTAAAAACATAATTACTCTCACTGGGTTTATGCAATTTCAGATAACTTACAGAGTTGCTTTTTTGGCAATACTTTATCACTAAATCAGAAAGCTCTGAATTTCCACTACTGGATCCACCTTACGCTCCATTATGTGAATGTAGATACTTTCAGATGAATGAAAAGACAACAAATGGGGCATTGAGCCTGGCATAGTTGGTGGAACAGTGGGGGCATGGTGTAATATGAGATAATCAATGTGTGAATGGATGTTTTAGCTCTTAGGACAGAGAGGAAGGGTTGCATTTTAGATATGTTGTATAGGAAGAAATTGAGAGATTTGTACAAATCCTGGATACATCTCTCCCAGATCTGAGAACCCTTTCACAATCACTATTTTCACTTAAATGCAAATATTTTTAAGAGGTCTCATGTTTTTGAATTAATTTACTGTCGGGATATGTTAAAGATCATCTAGGGGCTCTTCTTTTCACTGAAGTATTTGTTTTGTTACTAGTACTTTAATATATCTTTCAAAAATAGCCCTCAGTTCTACAACTGTAAGGCAGTTTGATCTTTAACATTTTATATTTGTTGGTTTGCCACGTCTGTCAAGTGTATGCAAAAAAGATCCATTTTAAAGGTGATCTGTATTATGCCTTAATGCATTGCAAAGTCAGGGTCATGGTGAGTTAATGAGTAAACTTGGTCATTTAAAAAAATTAGTTGTAATTTAGCCAGGAAAACCAAAAAGAGATTTTCATTTTTCCTCACTTATTATTTTGGCACTTTGTTGTCAAGAGGTGGACCGGAAGCACCAGAACTTGCCTAAACAACAATCTGGTGCTGTTTCAAACTCCAGCAGCAACCCAAAGGTGATATGGGTGGTGGATGGAAAAAGAATATTTATGTGCGACTCAGGAATGTAGTACTCTGAGGCAGGGGAAAAAACAGTCTCTCTATGTATATCTTCACTCCTTCCCCCTCCAAAAATAAAGCCAGATATGTGTGTTGCTTATTGCAGAAGCAGCCAGGCTGAGAGGGAGTAAGGAGCAGTCTTTCTGCTGGACTCTCTTCTGTTACGCTGCAGAATTTGTAGCATCTGCCAGGGTTGGGATTTCCTCTGTTCTTTCAGCAAATGTTTGATCTGCTGTTATACAAAAACCTCAGTTGTATCTTCCTCAGCCCAATTTTTCACCCACTGGAGGAGAGATCAAATTCACCTTCCTGTTAGGATCTTGAGGAGAGAATAGCTTGGTTTCTATTCTAGTGGTAGCTCAAAGTGCCACCAGGAAGAGAGCACATGCAGCCCCAACAACTTCTGCAGTCTTTGTAGGTGAGATGAAGACATCATAGCAGCAGAGAAGCTTTGCTATCTTCTGATGAGCATCCGTCTTTCCCTTATGAGTGGATGGAGTGGGAAAATATGCTTTCCCCCCCTTCACTCAGGATAGCAGCTGACTAATGAGGTGGGGAGGACACTGGTGCTCTTTTTCCTCCACTCCTTATCTCTCTTTGATTGTTGCTATTCAAGTGCTGCTTTCTGAGGTGCTATATGCTTCTGGCTCTACTCTGTGCTTGGAATATAATGTATGAAACTACTTGAGCTGTAAAAGGAAAGAAAAAGGGAAACTTAGTGATAAGAACTAAAACTGCCTAAATTCATTTTAATAAAAATTGAACTGATAGTGAGGTTGGTGAGAGTACAGCAATCTCTACATGAATATTTCAGTTATCTTTTGAGCAGTAGAACTTACATTAAAGTAAAGGAACACATCAAGAACATTCTACTTTCATTTATACATAAATTTTCACTTCAGGCCCATTGAAATAGCCTGCCATGCTTCTTTCAGCTCTCCACTCTCGGGTATCTGAATATGTTCTGTGGTGACAAAGTTACTCCTGCTGCATAATAACATAGGAGCAGAATCTGCATATGGAGTTAAGGAAAGCATATATGTCTTTCTTTGTAAACTTACTTTGTATCCCACAAGTATAAAATATTGACTGTTGCAGAAGTACTTTTCTTGCCGCCATAGATGAATTGTTCCAGTCATATCAGTGCATCATAAAATATCTTGCAGAATAGAAATTCTGAGATTACTGGAGAGGGAATGTGGTCAGCATTCAAAATTTCTTTGTAATATCCCCCAATTACTTTTCACATTTCTTTGCTCAAAAAAGACAGCATAATTTTTCTTAATGTTTGTTCTGTTTTTTAAAAATGTGTGGGAAGAGGGAAGGACTTCTTATGCACCTTCACCCTCCCAAATAACCCTCTGTCAACAAGCTTTTGGCAATCCCTTTCTGTGTCACTCAATATTTTATGTATCTTGGTAATAATTTGTTAATATTTTTGTAATGAATAAAAACCTTCTTTACCTCTCCATGCAGCTGTGATCCCAGAATCCTTTATAAACTCTCTTATAAACCTTTTCTAATTCTTCAGTTTTTTATAGTACAGTCTTCACATTTTTGTATAGTACTTCTCACCTGGTAAGTTTTTACCAGTCACTTACTGATTTAATTTTATTATCTCCTTATTTGTACTTTTTCTGGTATATTTCAGTTTCAGCAGTGTTTGCTTTACTAACTGCTGTTGGAGAGATATTAGTGTTCATTTTGTCCCCCAGACCTGATCAATGTCTTGTAGCGTGTGATGGTTCATAATCCATTTCCCAGTCACATTTAGTTCGTTTACTCATTAAGTAACTTAGACCACCTGTAAACTCAGATTCCCGTATCCTGATCTCTTCAGACATGTGCATTTATAAATTGTCAGTGTCTTGGTTGCTCATTCCATTGTATTTGTCTGCTTTAATGATATGGTAAATATATGTTGGTCTGAGTGAGTCGAGTTTGTGTTACCTGTAAAAGAATCTCTACATCTATGTAGATAAATAAAATAGAGTCTTTGTATGATAATGCTACTCAACACTGTAGTTAAGAGACTATCTTCAAGTCGCATTAGGAAATAAAA